CGCCAAACATGCCAGTACCATCCTCGCGAGCCGCAGCTTCCGCCAGCGCCCACCGGCGCCTCGCAGGCACCCGCCGGCCCTCTGCAGGCAGTTCACCTGCCCCTTTTTTTCAGCATTTTTGTTCCCTTATCTTCCTTTTATGTGGTTGAGATTGAGCCAGAGGGGGGAGCTCAGGATTTTGGAGTATGGGGAGTAGGTTTTGGAAGGATAAGAAGGGGGTATGATCATACATATCTCATATCTCAAATTTGAAAAGCTAGAGGAGAGGTGGAGAGCTTTTTGGGTGTTCTTAGAGCTCAAGGTGCAACAATGGAGAATTCTTCTTCTTCCTTCTCTCCACTCCTTGCATTAATGGGTAACTAAACCTCCATCTAGGGAGGTGATGATGCCTTCCCTTGTAATTATGTTTTAGATTAGGCCCTATTCTGGGGATAAATATGTATAATTTTTTGTCTTCTCATAATCTAGAGCATATTACTTTTTGTAATGAATTTCAATGTTCATAAATGATTTATGTAAGTTAATTATCTTATCTTTGATGATCCTTATATTAATCTTAATGCTTATATTTTCATGGTGACAATGGAAATAAGATTATGAGTGGTTTTCATGGCATGTTGATAGAGAAACTTGATAGTCCATTGCTTAGGTATTCCCTTTGATGGTTTATACTTGATTCCTAGCTTCATGTGCTTTATCATTTGATTAACGGCTTGATGGTCTTTTGCTTAAGGTAGTAGGTTTGATGCTACACACTAGTTTAGGTAATTCAAATGTATGAACTTTTGATGGATCATTCTTGTTTTGATTTAATGAACTTCTTGATGATTATAGGATAACCACGTGTTGCTATATAATTCTTGACCATTATATATATATTATCTATCCCCAATTTAGTCTTGATCTAGCATGTGTTTAGGGTTTAGTGCGGATTCACTTCCCTAGTTCTTTTTAATTGTCTTTGCCTATTTATTTCGTAGCATTACCATTTTATGCATTTCTCAATTCATAGTTTTAGTGACAAACCAACAAATCCTCTATAAACCTCCCTTGTCATTCTAAAAGATGATTTTAGACACTTAGGTTGCCATAAACTAGCAGTCCCAGTGGTTCGACTTACTTGACCAATAATCCTATTTTACAATGATTTGTGCTATTGCAAAACGGGTTGATTTATAATTGTAATCGATCCGTCGATCACACCTTATTACCGTTAGCCCTTTTTTTTTCTTTTTTTTTTTCGCTTATCAGCAATCTTTCAGTCACATCCTAACTACGGCACATTCACTATACAATCGTTTTGAGCACTTAATCAATTGAGGTGTTGATCAAACCTTGCCACCAAAGTGACAAGTAAGTGGTCTAGGTGCATGATTGAATTATGTAGAGGCTGATTGTGTTTAGCCCTCAGGTAATTTCCAATCTGAGCACTAAATTGTTGACATTTACAACCAAAACGTGCATATTTAACTGTCAATTAACAACTCATAATTTAAATCGGTCACAATAGCCGATTCTTTTTTGGTATCCCAAGGGGTTGAACAACCTAATGGGTCCTCCAGGATCGAACAAAAATTCTTTCAGCCTCTTGGGGTTTCTTTGGGCCGAACGAGTTGCCTCCCAAGGCCAAGTAAGCCTTGGTTCAAAATTATATTGTTTTTCAGCCTCTTTTGGTGTCCTTTTATTTATTAAATTCAACACCTAAATACTATTAACCCTTTCTAGAGGCCTTTTCTATGCTTGACATATGTAAAGCTTGATATTTATCAATTCTGCAGCGTCAATTTCAATACCAATTTCAGCCTCTGTCAAATGAATCTCATAAGTATGATCTTTGACATAATTATTATTCGACACCTTTGTCACATGAATTTTATAGTTTGGTCCCTGTAATAGGTACCCCTAGAGGCATTCCTTCTATCTTATTTTTCTTTCAGGACCTTTTCATATCTTGTAGCACTAGAGGCTAGTTAAAACAAGTCCCAAAATTGCATTCCCTCAAATTTCCTTCGTAACTCAAAGTCTAAACCATTCAAGGCTAGACTCACGTATTCAGCTTCTGGAAGGGCTACTTGGCATTTGTGTTTCACCCTTTAAAACCTACCAATAAAGGCTTTAACCGTCTCTTCAGGCATTTGGGACACCTTTGGTTCGGTCTTATAAAATTTGGTATGAAACATTTCTTCCAATTGTTGCCAAGTATAGACCAAATTTACACGTAAACTTATATACTAAGAAAATGCGGTCCCTTTAAGGGAATTAGCAAATAGCCTTAATTTTAAGAATTCATTTGCTCCAATCTCACCACATTGAATGGTAAACCGACCAATATGTTCTATGGTCGAAGTGGAGTCCTCTCCCAAAAAGGTAACGAAATTGGGAACTTTATAGCCTCTTAGAAATGTATATTGGTCTATATAACCCGGATATGGCTTCCCATATGTAAGGCGACCAACTCTTCTTGAGGCTGGTCCATAAGTTTCTTGAATTAAATTAGCTAATTGATCTTTATCAACCATAAGAGGATGATGATTTGGCTGTTGTGCTTGAGGTTGATGCATATAATGTGTCTGAAGTTGAGGCACACACAGTACTTGAGGCTGAGATATGTTCGGTACCTGAGGCTGAGGCACTAGAAAATTAAAACCAGCATTAAAATTATCTCGCCCTTCTTTAGGCTGATTTACATGCAGTTGGTGTTGATAAATCGGATTAAGTGGTCGCCAATTCACATTCTGAGTAGCCCATTCGATTGGTTGATACTTCGTTGGTATCTGATGTTACGGTCGATTAGCTTGCGATTGATTAGCCTGGGGTTGATATTGTCCATGTAACGGCTGCAGAAGGGGTTGAAACCCTTACCGCTATTGTTAGTAGTAATTCTGTTGAACCCAACAGGTGCTGGAACTTGTTACTGTGCATACAATAAAGTATCTATAGTATTTGACCATGCCATAAGGTGTTGATCAAACTTTGTTGATAGGACGGTCAAAGAGTCATTCAAATTAGCCAATGTGTTATGGATTGGCTTTAGTGCTCCATGAAATGTACGGCTAGAAATTTTCATTCGTTGCACTAAGTTGTTAATATTCTTAGCCAACATCTGATTACTTGGCTGTTGATTTACTTCGATTTCAGTCCTTTATTCCTGATGTTGAGGTTATTTCTCAGGAAAATTTTGCGACTGAGACCAAGTAAATACCATAGATAAATGTTAAATTTAGACACTTTCGGTGTCCCACCGAGCGTGCCAAATTGTTTGGCTCTTTTTTTTTAGGGGCGTGCTAGAGTCTTTCGACCTAAAGGGTTGGATAACCAAACTATCCTTGATACTAACCGAATTCGTAATCGGCCCTTTTATGAATTAGGCGAATACTGGAAGGCAATGATGACCCCTTCCTTCAGGTTCTTTAACGCCTTAATTAAGAGGACTTTTGACAAACTAAAATAAAATAAGGGTTGAAATTGGACGAAGGGAGCAACACTAACTGCACAAGCGTTCATTAATCCCAAATAAACTTATAAAATAACAATAGAGGGAACACTTGAGTACTAGCATCCATCTTATTTCATAAGTGAAATTTTGACACAAGTGATACAAGAATAAGAATTGGATTCTAACAGAACTACTCCTAGGCAGAAGAAGTGTAATACAATGAAAAGACTTAAGTAAAATAAAAGAGAATGAAAAATCCTAAGCTAATGAAGTGTAATACAATGAAAAGACTTAAGTAAATTGCAGAGAATGAAAAATGTGTTATGTGGTCGGGTACTTTTTGCACAAGGCCTTCTTCTTCTATTTATAGTTGAGTCTCCAAGCATTTACTAAAAGAAGTTTTCTTTTAAAATTCAAATATTATATTTAAATTAAAAAAACTTCCTTATCCGAATACACTTCATTTTGTCTTAAGCTTATCCACATACACTCATTTTACCGCTTATCCAAATGAACGTATTTTTTGGAATCAAACTAATGTAGCTACAATTCGTAACTTTAGATATCAATTTTTAAATAAGAGTCCTATTAGTAACACGGTAATATATTTTCATCCAATTAAACAACACCATGTGTCTAAATAAAAAATTAAATTTATGGTGCAAACAACCGCTAGCCAGCCCGCGATCGTTATTATTATTATTATTATTATTATTATTATTATTATTATTATTTTCTGTTGCAAAATGGCACCATTTTCGGTTGCCTTTTTTGTTTTATTCTCAAACACTCTTGGAACAGTGGTTGAACTTAAGGCACTGTTTGGCAGAATTGTTTTTTTTGTTTTTTACAAAAACCTAAAAATAGGTTATTTTGAGCTCTTTTTTTTATAAAAAAATAATAATAAAATTCATTAAATAAAAAAATATATTGTTTAGGCACTGTTTGTCCAAAAATAAATTTATCTGGGCCAAAAATAAATTAAAAAACTTTTATTTTTGTTTTTTCCCCTTAAATTTTGTTTTTATTTTTATTTTCTTACTTTAAATTTTAAATGTGTACCATAAACAATGCATTTGGCCATTAAGGCAAAGCGATTTGCCGCCTTTATGGCTCCAATGGCGACTAGATCAACACGTTATTGCTTCAAAAGAAGCTTTGTGTGGCTGACACAAATAGTACCTTAACGGCTATAATTTTTTTAAAAAAATATTTAAAATTACAAATTCAACTACTTATTCCCATATGATTTTGTAATCCTTATTTTCTTATTCCAATTCATTATTTTTAAACTTAAAAAACCATTACATAATAAAAGTTCTAGTACACGAAATGTCATAATATCTTAAAAGCAAACAAAATGTAACATAAATTAAACATCTTCATCGCCATAGCAGTTCCACAAATTTTTCATCAAATCATTCATCAACCGCATATTTGTCTCTCTGTTGCAAATCTGAAGTTGGCGAGAGAATATGTGTGCCGTTAAAACCGATGGGCATCGACTTAAAGTGAGAATCGGAATTGCATCCTCCAGTGACGGAGTCCATCTTTCAACATTTGCTTAATGCTCATCTTCAATGATCATATTGTGAAGGATGATGCATGTTTTCATTATGAGGCGCAAGCCATCTTTCTCCCAGTAACGCACTGGTCCTTGCGTTATTGCCCACTTGATCTGTAATAACCCAAAAGTCCATTCCACATCTTTCCTGCATACCTCTTATCGCTGAGCAAATAAATTTTCTTTTCCAGTGGTTCGGTGCAGGATGGTCTGCACTAAGGTTACCCACTTAGGGTATATACCGTCAGACAGGTAATACCCCATTTTATAGTGATGTCCATTCACTATATAATTAACCGGAGGTACTTGGCCATTGATGATACCGTTGAATACCGAGGAATGATCCAACACATTTATATCTTTGTTTAAACCCGGCATTCCAAAGAATGCATGCCAGATCTACAAATCTTGTGAGGCAACTGCTTCCAATATGAGAGTATTCTTGCCAGAGCATCCCCTATGTATACAGTGCCACTCAACTAGGCAATTCTTCCACTCCCAATGCATACAGTCGATAGAACCAAGCATACCTGAAATCTTTTATGCTCCCCTTCTTCAAACAGCCATGCTATGTCGACTTCGTTGGGTGGGCGCATATACTCCTCTGCATGCACAGCAACAATAGCATTACAAAATGCCTTCAAGCATTTAATGGCAGTACTCTCGCCGATTTTAATATACTCTTCATAGTGACTGACTGCACAACCATATGTGAGTATATGAACAGTAGTTGTCATCTTCTGTATAGAAAACAACCCCAGACTACTAGTCACATCTTTTTTTTGGACAAAGTAGTCATCATAAGCTTTGACATCATTAAGGATACGAAAAAAAAAGTTCTTGTCGCATCCTGAATCGCATGTGAAAGTACTCTGGTGGATATATGCAATTCTCATTGAAGTTATCTTTCATTAGCTGATAGTGGCTTCCCTCTCAGTCACGATGAATGTATCGCTTCTTATTATGGACTTGAAATACTTGTTCAACTATCTCTGGCCTTACTGAATTCATAATCTCATAGAATTCGTCTTGATCCTATTGAATCAACGCGGTAATAGGGTCATCTTTCGAAGAGGATGACGAGGAAGATGAAGAATTAGAGTCTTCCAAAGGAAAAACTTATGATGACGAAGCCATTGGAATTTCAAAATTGAAAAAGATGGATAATGATAGTTTGCTACAATGGATTGAGATGAATGTAGTAATGATTTTTAGATGAGTAAATAAGTATTCATTATATAAGATGAAAAATACAGCCGTTAAAAATATAGTCGTTACGAATATAACCGTTAGAAATATAGCCATTTAGGAAAAGTTAAAAAATAATAATAATAAATTATTTTTAATTTTTTAATTTTTGGAGAGCAAAAATTCGGAGAGCCAGATGGAGTGCATGTTTCTGGAGAGCGAAAGCTGCTGACGTGACTCTTGGAATTACTGACGTGGCTCTTGGAAAAGCTGATGTGGCATTTTAGAGAGCCAAAATCTGGAGAGGCTGGTACAGATGGCCTAAGTATTAACTACCACCACACATTTTATAAACAAAATTCAAAGATAGGTAGCATCGTTCTGATTTTTAGGTAGTGTCAAGGGAGAGAAAAAATATCTTTAATACTAAAAATCAAAGAATTTAAAATTGCTTGAAATACTTGGAAGACATACGAATTTTAGGTAACATCTATCCCACTGGTTTACTTATGTCCTGATTAATTAATATCTTTTTTAATGTACATTTAGATGGATAAGAGTTTGATGCAAATTTTAACTAGAATTCATCCATTGTATTTACATGGAATACAAGTTTTAATCTAGTTTGCGAGTGGTCATGTGGACAGTTTAAATAGAGCGCACTGTCCCTCTCGTAGTTGCAAAAACAAGCTAGTGAGGCAACTAAAAGAAGTGGAAAACCATGCAAAGCCCCGAGTTCGGATGGAATGACTCCATTGTTCTATCAGCAATATTGACATATTATTAAGAATGAGGTCGTTGATGCGGTACGTAGTTTTATGCATTCAGGACATTTGTTATCTAGTATGAATCATACTAACATTGTTTTAACTCCAAAAATTGAGTCCCCAACTCATGTATCGCATTATAAACCTATTTCATTATGCAATGTTGCTTATAGGATAGTGGCTAAGGTACTTGCTAATAGGCTTTAACAGATTATTCCCTTAGTTGTTAGTAAGTCCCAAAGTGCATTTGTTCCAGGATGTCACATTACTGATAATATCCTTATATCTCATGAAATCCTACACTACCTTAAAACTAAACGTAAAGGGAAGAAGGCGTTTATGGCCTTGAAACTGGACATGAGTAAACTTGATCGGACTGAATGACCTTTTTTGTTGGTCATGCTTACTAAACTTGGTTTTCATCCTTATTTGATTAAACTTATCCATGCTTGCATTTCCACAATCTTTTATTCGATGTTGATTAATGGTAGACTATGTTTCGGCCCACGCAAGGCCTGAGACAAGGGGACCCTTTATCTCCGTATTTATTTATTTTGTGTGCAGAGGCTCTCTCAATGTCTTTGTAAGTAGCCCTTCAGTATCGTGTGTTATCTAGGTTCGTATCTATCCCCATGCGCCACCTGTATCACACTTGTTTTTTGCAGACAATTCGATTGTTTTATGCCAGGCATCTACTTCTGAGCTTGTATTCTCTGTAGAATATCCTATAGAAGTATGAACGGGCATCTAAGTGTGATACCCCTCGAATCCGAGACATGGGTTGATCAAACCCAAGCCTAAACCCGAGGGAATATCAAACAATGAATATATAAACGAACATAGAATATAAAAGATTTAAGAATTAAATATTAAATAAATACGCTAATAAGAATTATTAAATATAAAATTCTCAAAATGATAATCATAATTCAATTCTTCAAAACCTCCAAGTGTACAACTCGGGAATCCATCTAGTGGACCCCTAAACCAAATCCCAACTAAACTGAAAAACTGGAAATAAAATCCCCAACTAAAACATAGAGAGAAGTCCTACGTAAATGGATGATTAAGTGACTGTCTCCGATTGTCTCCGACAAGCACGATTAAGCTCTAAGGCTGGAACCATCCCGTAGTTGAAAAGAATATAAGAGTGGGTCAGGCCCACGAACAAGTTCTATTCTAACTGCAATCCATACAGTGACCCGATACGCATATACATCCTAGATATCTCATAATATCTATCTAGCCCATAAATACATATATATTCACACTAAAGGACATTCACTGGACTACAAAGGGGTCTCAACCTGAATAGAAGGCAACATATAAAAACGCACCCTAAGGTGGGCATGAGTACCTAGACCTAACAAGGTATACCTCAACCTATCATAGCCAGCTACGTATCCATTTCATATACGCACCCTAATTTATGAGCCTGAGACTCAAGCTCATCTCGTGATACCATAATTGTATATTTAAAGTCCGTTTAAAACCAGAGTATGTCATTCAATTGTTCATTGATCTGACATACGATTTATAGTCCAGTTAGTCACTCAACTTATTCAGTTGATATGACTTAACTACACTCAACAGTTAATCCATGTAGTCACTCAACTTACTCAGTTGATCTGACCTAAATATAAGTAGGATTCAATGTTTACAATCAATTCCCTTATTCCCATAGGGTAGGTCTTAGCTTTCTGAGCTGAACCATCCCTAGTATGCCACCATCCCATACCAGTGCATACGATCCACAACATCTATGTAAATTACAGAACCTAAATAACAGTTCAGCAATTAAAGTCCAAAACCATAATCCAGTTTAAACCAAAATCCAGATAATTGCAGAATAGTGTACAATATTTTAGCAATTAAAGTTCAAAACCATAGTCCAGTTAATTGTAGAATAGTGTATAATATTTCAACAATTAAAATCCAAAACCATAATCCAACTCAAAACCATTATCCAGTTAATTGCAGAATAGTGTAAAACATCTCAGCAATTAAAGCCAATCCTTTATTCATGTAATTGCAGAAAGGAACTAACATTTCAACAATTTAAAATCTAGAGCATGCATAGGTCAAATCCATTATGCATCTAAAACAAGATTTAAATTCATGCTATAGACCGCTAAATCGCCAAATGAAAACTAGGCAATTAAATCTTTTCCATCCGTAAACAGCGTGCAAAGTTGTTTAATTTTACACTGTTCGTTCCATTAATATAACGAGGTAACTTATGCAATTAGAGGTCTTAACAACACTGAAGTTAAATATTAAAGCCCCAGTAAAGTCCCAAAACCACTCGGACAGACCCCGAACGCTCAAACAAAACCGTAAAAAAAATTACCGAACGCGTGCACATGAGAGAGCCTGCTCTCAAGACTTGGAAGTAGGCTCCCTAAGGCATGGAGCCGGCTCCAAGCTTCTTGGAGTCGGCTCTAAAGGGGTGGGAGCCGGCTCCCACTTCCATGGAGCTGGCTTTCTTCATCTCTGAGAGCCTCTGGTCCAATTCTACTCCGTTTTTTACCATCTCCTTCGTCTCTGGCCATTCCAACTCTTCTATTTCTCTTTAATACTGAACCCAAGAGTCATGTTTATACCCAGTAGCATCCCAATGATTTGTTTACAACAGTTGGAATTAATTATAGTGATTAAAACCGCTACAGATTTAACATACTTAAAGACCAAACTGAAATGCAGACTTGCAAGAACCATATCAAATTAAATTCAACTTGTATAGACAAGCAATTTTACACGTACTAAGCATGCAAGATTAAATTAATGTCCAATTAAACTCTTAGAGATTATCTAGGTATACACAGAACATAGACCAATTAAATAAATAAAGTAAATAATACAATTTTTTCATTTTCCACAGAAGCATACATTAAACCAATACTGATGAGCACTGAAAAGTGCGCATTTAAACCCGTTAAGCTTAAGCATTCTAGTACCTTTATCTATCTTACTTTGCCGTTTTAGACTTATTACGTGTTATTTATATTTTCAGGCACTAATCCCAAAATTGAGCTAACTCAGCCAAATAAGAGCTTAATTGAAGCAATCCTGAGATAAACCAAAGGAGGGAGCAAAGTGGAGAAAGAAAGGAGCAAAAAGGAATCAAGTTGTGCAGCTGAAAAGTTCGATTGATCCAAGTTAAGGTTCGATCGATCGAACATCTATAATCGATCACAGTACTTCTCGATAGATTCAACCTTGGCCTTTGCTGAAATTCCAAGTTCGATCGATCGAACATCACATTCGATCGATCGAACCCTATTTTGTCCTATTCAAATGATTGATCTTATCCACAGCTGTACGCCTACCAACCACTTTTGTCTTTTTCCCCATAAATATCTTGAAAATATCCCAGCCTTGTCATTATCCGGAGGAGTCAGACCACTTCGATCGATCCAAGATGCAGTTTGATCGATCGAACCCATTTTCGATCGATCCAAGTTAAGGTTCGATCGATCGAACTTCCTCCAGTGAGAAAAAGTTAAAGTCCAGCTCATTTATTCCGTCCTTCATCCAATGATTGGAGAATATGCCTTGCACGACCACAGCTCATCATGGGGTGTATTTGACCTACCTATATAAGGAATATGATACACTTTTTGAGGGAGTCTCTTGTCACACATTGAAAATCATCTTGGAGGCTATTCTTGGAGAGGAAGAAGGGAGGAAGTTAGAGCAACCATTGGAGGAGATCTTCACCAACAAGGAGCAGCCATGAAGTTAGCCCTTAAGGGTTGGATCATCACTACCATGAGTGGCTA